CTGGGGTTCAAGGGCCATTCCACCTCTGCCACAGCTCTTCACCTCTGCCACTATGGCACAAAAGCAGCTACAGACAGACAACCTGTAAAAGGGTGTGCATGGCTGTGTTCCACTAAGACTTTGTTTACAAAACTTGTCAGTGGGTCATTTTGATTTGAAGGCAGTCATTTGTCAACCTATACTCTAGTCTACGGTTTCTTCTATTTATCTAAGGTTTCTTTCCCAGGGGCTCCAATTGACTGGAAAGGCTTTAGTTACCATGTATGAGCCAATGACACGATTCAGTTATGAGGCTAGATTTCTCAGCTCTAAACTCAATCAATTCCTTGACAATCCCGTGTGTGCCACTAGCTGAGTGTGTTCTAAAACAAAACTTTCAAACATATTTCTTACCTCAGTTATGACATTAACCACCCACTGATTTATCCTTGGCAGGAATCTGGGAGTTACTCATCCTTCTCTCTTCATCTCTTGGACATCTTATAGAATCATTTTTAAATTTTTTTTATTTTTATTTTTTTTTTTAATTTTTATTTACTTAGGATAGTCACAGAGAGAGAGAGAGAGAGGCAGAGACACAGGCAGAGGGAGAAGCAGGCTCCATGCACCGGGAGCCCGACGTGGGATTCGATCCCGGGTCTCCAGGATCGCGCCCTGGGCCAAAGGCAGGCGCCAAACCGCTGCGCCACCCAGGGATCCCTAGAATCATTTTTAAATACTACTTGAGTTGGCCCAATTTCTGTCACCCCTTCTGCCACCATGCTTGCCCATGCCTTCATCTCTCTTAGTTAAATCTTGCACTCCCTCCTGCTCACCTCCCAACTATTCTCTACACACTGCCAGAATTCGTTTTTTAAACCTATTCATTGCCGTGCCCATGTCCATAGGATAAAATCCAAACTCGTGAATCCAGTCCATGACATGTGATCTGGGCCCTTCTCTACTGCCCAACCTCATTTTTACCACCTTTTCCTCTTATGCATGGTCTCCCTGACCTTCTTTCAGTATCTCAAATATGCACCAAATTCTTAACTTTTGGACAGCCTATTCTCTGCCTGGAATGGTCTCTCTTTCTGTGCCATGCAATGCCTCCTATTTTTCACTGAGCCAACTTCATATTCATCCTAAATGAAAGCCAGAAACTTAACAAGCATGGATTGTTTTGACTACCAAAAAACTTAAATGCATATACTAAAAGTAAATAAATAAATAAACAACATAAAATAAAATAGTTAAAAGACAAACAAAAAGTTGGGAAAATATGTGTAAGATACAGAAGACTGATCCCCAAAACTAAAGAAGAGCTCATGCATCAATACAGAAAAACAACAAACATCTTTCAGTAGAAAAATGGGCCAAAAACATGAACATGAGACTCACAAAAACATGAACATGAGACTGGAAAAACAGTAATGATCAACAGACATAAAAAATACTCACTATCCCTAGTAATCAAGTATGCAAAACAAAACAAAAATTAGGTATCATTTTTCATTCATCAAATTGGAAAACATTTAAAAGATCAAGGAAGTGCATTTATTTATCATTTCAAGGTCTAAATCTTAAAATAGGAGATCCCTGGGTGGCTCAGTGGTTTAGCGCCTGCCTTCAGCCCAGGGCGTGATCCTGGAGTCCTGGGATTGAGTCCCACATCAGGCTCCCTACATGGAGCCTGCTTCTCCCTCTGCCTCTCTCTCTCTCTCTCTCTCTCTCTCTGTGTGTGTCTCATGAATAAATAAGTAAAATCTTAAAAAAAAAATCTTAAAATAACTTTTAACATTATCAGATTCTCACTATCAGAATTAACTGGTATCATCAGGACGGGGAAGGTTGTTGTTATCATATTGATTAATCTATAAGGTGTTGCTGCTCTATAATCAACACTTTTGAAAGTCATTAGTGTCATATAGGATATTTTATGTATATACTCCCCAAATGATCTCATTTAATAAACCCTCACATTGGAATACCCTGAGACGACACATAGATCAATGGAACAGAATAGAGAACCCAGAAGTGGACCCTGAACTTTATGGTCAACTAATATTCGATAAAGGAGGAAAGACTATCCACTGGAAGAAAGACAGTCTCTTCAATAAATGGTGCTGGGAAAATTGGACATCCACATGCAGAAGAATGAAACTGGACCACTCTCTCGCACCATACACAAAGATAAACTCAAAATGGATGAAAGATCTAAATGTGAGACAAGATTCCATCAAAATCCTAGAGGAGAACACAGGCAACGCCCTTTTTGAACTTGGCCACAGTAACTTCTTGCAAGATACATCCACGAAGACAAAAGAAACAAAAGCAAAAATGAACTATTGGGACTTCATCAAGATAAGAAGCTTTTGCACAGCAAAGGATACAGTCAACAAAACTAAAACACAACCTACAGAATGGGAGAAGATATCTGCAAATGACGTATCAGATAAAGGGCTAGTTTCCAAAATCTATAAAGAACTTATTAAACTCAACAGCAAAGAAACAAACAATCCAATCATGAAATGGGCAAAAGACATGAAGAGAAATCTCACAGAGGAAGACATAGACATGGCCAACATGCACATGAGAAAATGCTCTGCATCACTTGCCATCAGGGAAATACAAATCAAAACCACAATGAGATCCCACCTCACACCAGTGAGAATGGGGAAAATTAACAAGGCAGGAAACAACAAATGTTGGAGAGGATGCGGAGAAAAGGGAACCCTCTTACACTGTTGGTGGGAGTGTGAACTGGTGCAGCCACTCTGGAAAACCGTGTGGAGGTTCCTCAAAGAGTTAAAAATAGACCTGCCCTACAACCCAGCAATTGCAGTGCTGGGGATTTACCCCAAAGATTCAGATGCAATGAAACGCCGGGACACCTGCACCCCGATGTTTCTAGCAGCCATGTCCACAGTAGCCAAACTGTGGAAGGAGTCTCGGTGTCCATCGAAAGATGAATGGATAAAGAAGATGTGGTCTATGTATACAATGGAATATTCCTCAGCCATTAGAAACGACAAATACCCACCATTCGCTTCAACGTGGATGGAACTGGAGGGTATTACGCTGAGTGAAGTAAGTCAATCGGAGAAGGACAAACATTATATGTTCTCATTCATTTGGGGAATATAATAGTGAAAGGGAATATAAGGGAAGGGAGAAGAAATGTGTGGGAAATATCAGAAAGGGAGACAGAACATAAAGACTCCTAACTCTGGGAAACGAACTAGGGGTGGTGGAAGGGGAGGAGGGCGGGGGGTGGGGGTGAATGGGTGACGGGCACTGAGGGGGACACTTGTAGGGATGAGCACTGGGTGTTATTCTGTATGTTGGTATATTGAACACCAATAAAAATTAATTTATTAAAAAAATAATAATAAAATAAAATAAAAAAGGAATACCCTGAGACATTGGTTTATCATTCCTACTACTTGTTCACCAAGGTGGGGTCAAAGTGACTCGAGGAGGCAGCCTAGCAGAGCAACCCTGCCTTGTCTATGCCAATTGACATTGTTCACCTTTGTTTCATATCTACATTTTTCACAGCTTTAATGGCATGCAGTACATTACACAAATTATCCAAAAGAAAAATGACGCAACATATGTTAAAGTGTCAGCAACTTTCAGAAAGAAATAGTACTCAGAAAATTCTTTAGCCAAATGTTTATTGATGATGGATCAAATAAAAGAAACATGGTGTACCTCTTTTTCTATCTTAAATTAGTTTCAATTCCCTAAGTTTAAGTATATAAATTTATATGTATAATTCATAAAATATAATTGGTGAATGTTCTTTTCCATCAAGTCTATTTAAAACTAGAGTCTAAGAACTCCTTCTGAATGGCGCCATGATTCACTCAATTCAACTATAATACTAGATGAAGGCTACTAAGAAATTTCCATAATCAAAAGCTGTTTTATAATAATATTTTCAATGGGGAAATGAATTTGGGATGGAGCAAATTTTATGAGAAAACTCATAAAATTATTTTCCTGTACAATTTCAACAACAAAAATTTTATAGCTATAATCATATAAACTCTAACATCAGGGACGGGGGTGGGGTAGGGTGCATGTCGCTCAGTGGTTGAGCTTCTGCCTTTGGCTCAGGGCATGATCCCGGAGTCACAGAATCCAGTCCCACATTGGGCTCCCCGCATGGAGCCTGCTTCTCCCTCTGTGTATATCTCTACCTCTGTCTCTCTGTGTCTCTCATGAATAAATAAATAAAATCTTTAACAAATAAATAAATAAAAATAAAACCTAACATCACTAAGCAAATTCAGTCTTTAAAGACATCTGACTCTTCCTCAAGAATATTCCCCCATAAACATTTTTTGTTTTTGTACCATACATTCTGGAATGAGAATAAAAATCTTTATGGAAGAATACAAGAAAAAGTTAACCATGGTTCTATGGAGGCGGAGGGGTGAAGACTTACTTTGCATTTGGCATGTTTCTGTACTGTTTGAATTTAATCACTATGCATACGGTAAGTCTAGAATAAGGCTTATCTGGGATATCATTTTTGTTTTTTCTTTATAAATTTTTTGAAAGTTACAAAAGAAGCAAAAAATAGTGATGATTTTACTTTGTCAATCATCACAAATATTTATCATTAATTAGCACATATTAACATTCTTGTAACTCTTACTCAGACTTAGCAACCTTCATTCTGATAAACAAACCAAGGATAATGCCATCTAAGCAAAGCAGTTCAGTGGCTAATAAAAAAAACTAGAATGGCTACCGATTTTGGAAGATTTATAACTAGTTATTATATGCCTAAGACAAACCATATTTGTTCATGAATAGTTGAAAAGTAGTCTAGGCCTGGCTGATTCTTGCCTAGAGGTTGATAAAAAATGAAACCATCTAAACAGCACAAATACTACTGTGGTCCCCTTTTCCTTCCAAATCTCAAGTCCACAGCGCCACCTACTGGGAAAAGCAGAGCCACCATTCACCACAAGTAAGGCTTTTTTGGTAAATACCAAATTATTTACCTGAGGCTGAAGCAAAGCAACCAGGGATGTGAGGAGACCAGATTGTGCTATAAATGACACTTTCATGGCCTCTAAAGGTGCACAAAGACTTTCCAACAGTTGGGTCCCACTACAAATAAATGAATAGATCAATTACTTGGAGGCAAATTCAAATTTATGTTTATATATAATACATACAAAAACTACATATATATGTATATATACACATATAATAGACATATATATCTCAAGGATTTTTTAAAGTCTATTTTCACATAAAGCAAAATGGTATTTAAAGGGCCAAAATAATCAATCCTGAGCTAGTGGTTAACTTATAGCCAAAAGGTTAAAAATGCTTAAATTCTAATAAATGCTTTAACATAGTTTTTTGAAAAGAAAATTAGCTGTGTAATTGAAAGATATAAAAGTATGTTCTAGAAAAGAAAAAAATTCAAGGGAAGCTTTGGGGAAGAGAATATTTGGTTTTAAATACAGTAATGATGACATACCAATTTGACAGTTTGATCCCATGAGCCAGACACTACAAGCTGTTCACCTCTGGTTTGGCTCCAATCAACACTATAGACCTAAAAATATTTTAATGTGTCATTTAGAAGGCAAAGGAGCATTAAATTCAATATTACATTTTGTCTCTTCATAATAGTGATAGCCAGTTAGAACAACTAATTCACCTCACTGAAAGTCCTACAAATCTCAACATGGTGCCTGAGAAATGGAAAGGCCATTTTGTCCATTCCTCCAGACATACTCCTTACAGATAAGATTCCATTTGGTTTTAATAGAATTCTACAGATTATTTCCAAACCTCCTTCACTAAAACAAATCATATATATTTTTAACCTACCAACAAATCACTGTTTGCAGCACCCTGTAGAAATGTCAAAGCAGATTAGAAAGTTAGTCATCTAAAAAAGCTTGCCAGGTCAGTGTTTATCAGAAAGCATTAAAATTCAATTAATATTGCTATCTGGCCTTTCTTAGAAAAAGCTTATAGGAACCAGGTAATCCTTTCAGATCTCTTGGTAAACAGCTTTAGTTATCCAATGCTGCTATTCTAATCTATGCTTTACTGCTTTTAGTGAATGATTTCAAATGAACCATTTAAAAACTTATGGAAAAATAAAAATCTTATGGAAATATTTTATTGTCATTTTATATAATAGATTATATATAGACCACTATTGTAAGCTAAGTTCTACAAAACATGTGCATAATTATTCTTTATTAAATTAAAGTAGTCCTGAGTATACATCACTAAATATGACCAGCCATATCAGGTTCTTCTGAATCTTAAAAATTCTTGCTACCATATTATTTATGTAGGAGGCAGGAGTGTCTGCAGTTTGCTGTACCTTAAGCATGGGTTCCCTGCTCTCTGCTGTCTTGCACTATGTACTATGTACTATGTACCATGCCTAGCCATATTGGAGTCTCAGTTTAAAAAAAAAAAAGTAATACTGATCTTGTTTCTGTCTAAAACTTTACAAAGTTTTCTGTCTAAAACTTTCACAGATTTTTTGAATCATGATTTTTAAAAATATTGCATTGACATTATTTGACTACTGAATTTTGGGGGTCCTCCTGAATCATGTACCTATGATGAGACCCTCACCCACCCTATCCTAGTCCTGGCTCTGCTGCTGTCCATATTCATGCAAAAGAGAGAAGACCAGGGACGCCTGGGTGACTCAGTGGTTGAGCATCTGCCTTCGGCTCAAGGCGTGATTCTGGAGTTCTGGGATCGAGGTCCCGCATCGGGCTTCCTGCGTGCATGGAGCCTGCTTCTCCCTCTGCCTATGTCTCTGCCTCTCTTTCTGTGTCTCTCATGAAAAAAATAAATGACAACGTGGATGGAACTGGAGGGTATTATGCTGAGTGAAGTAAGTCAATCGGAGAAAGACAAACAGTGTATGTTCTCATTCATTTGGGGAATATGAATAATAGTGAAAGGGAATATAAGGGAAGGGAGAAGAAATGTGTGGGAAATATCAGAAAGGGAGACAGAACATAAAGACTCCTAACTCTGGGAAACGAACTAGGGGTGGTGGAAGGGGAGGAGGGCGGGGGGTGGGGGTGAATGGGTGACAGGCACTGAGGGGGACACTTGACGGGATGAGCACTGGGTGTTATTCTGTATGTTGGTAAATTGAACACCAATAAAAATTAATTTATTAAAAAAAAAAGAAAAAAATAAATGAAATCTTTAAAAAAAAAAAAAAAGTGGGCAGCCCAGGTGGCTCAGCGGTTTAGCAGGGTGTGATCCAGGAGACCCGGGATCAAGTCCCACGTCAGGCTCCCCACATGGAGCCTGCTTCTCCCTCTGCCTGTGTCTCTGCCTCTTTCTCTCTCTCTGTGTCTCTCATGAATAAATAAATAAAATCTTAAAAAAGAGAGAGAGAGAGATCAGCTGGAACACTGAAGAAACCACAAGCCAGCAACAGAGAACAGCTCATATAAACGGGGCAGCAAAAAGCAAAGAGCTGCTGTGGCCATCTATTGGTTATGGTGGAAAAAGACAGACTTGGAAGTAGTCACAGAAGATCTTGAGAGCTCAAGAGTTTGATTTTGTCCTGTAGGCCAGGACAAGGCAAATTTCTTCTGTAAAGAGCAATAATTCAGGGCTTTATAGAACATTTGGTTTCTGTATGTCAGCCTGCTAGAGCAAAAAAGTAGTCATAGATGATGCCTGATGAGTAGACAAAGCTGTGTTCCAATAAAACGTAATTTACAAATCAGAGAGTAGCCTAGGTTGGGCGCTGTCCCATGAGTAGTAGTTTGCCAACTCCTGCTCTAGGTTGATGTGAACAGTCAAAAATAACCACAATAGCAAACTTTATTGAGCATCTACTGTGTGCCAGATACTGTTATAAGCATTTTACATATTTTCTCTCATTAATCTTAACTCCTCTGAAATATTGTGCTAAGACCCAAAAAGTTTAAATTAATTGTCCAAATTCCTAAAGCTAGTAAGTTGCACAGCTGAACTCTGCAGCTCAGCAGCCTACCTGCTGAGTCTACCCTTAATCATTACACTAGGCTGTCTCTATACCACACTACTTCACTACTTGAGGGCACTGTTGAATTGGAATGACCTTGGGCTGCAATATTAAGGAAATAAAAGCCTGCCCTTCACTGGCGATTCACTGGTATTGCCCTTCATCAGAGCCCAGATTGATTCCATTTTGTTTTCATGAATGATCCATATTCAAGAACTTAAAGCCTCTGTCAACTTAGTGAACTCCTGTTCACCTGTCTTTTATGAAACAGGCCTCCCCTGGACAAAGCCTTTGATGACTGAAATGCTTCCTTTTGTGCATTCCAACAGCATCTTGTACCTAATTACAATTTAACACTCATCATATTTTACTACAACTTGTGTTAAATACCTGCTAAAGTCTAGAAAATCCACCATGAGAACAAAACCATCTTGTATGTCTATGCTCATTGCAATATAATAAACACTCAATAAACAGGAGTTAAAATAATGTACCCAATTAAATTTATCTTTACAATCTGCATCACTAAGGTATTATAAAGAGCTACAGTTTTCATTTCAGAGGACAACTGAACAAATATAACTAAAAACTAAGACCAACATGTCAGATTTCACTGCCCCTACAGCATGACATAGGATTTGAAAGCTTATGACTTCTCATCTTTTGAAAGTGCAAGAGCTCCCACAGGCTCAGAGAGAACCCAGGCCTAGTGAGAACAAAAGATAGGAGGTAAGATAACTACGTTAATGGTGGTGTTGCTGCCAGCTATATCATCAGTCATACAACAAAGTATAAGCAGTAGGACTCTAGGACAAAACTAAGGACAAGACACACATGGTGAGGTTAAATGGGATAACATGGAAGGAAATAAAGGCAACTCAATAAATATTTTATGTGTTTGACTGTGTCTACAATTTAGGATATGGGAATGTAACAGTCCAAGCCAGGATAGATATTGTTAAAAAACAAAACAAAACAAAAAAAAAAAAAAAAACTATAAACATAAGTACAAAATGGGTGCTGGGATACAAAATTCAGCTTGATGGCCAGAAGACAGGATCCAAGCAGGGCCGTAAGGCCTGGCTAAAATATCAACAGCAAAAAGCAGAAGTGAAAATAGTGATCAGAAACTCCCCCAAAGACATACACAGGCATAGATAGCACTCAAGGGATTAGGACTGAGAACACTGCAGGATAACACCAAGGTTTTGTGCCTGGGGACTGCCGGTGGTGGTGGCACTAACAAAATGGGAAGACTGGAGGAAAGAAGATAATGTGTAATTTTAGACATACTGACTTTGAAGGGACAGCAAGATAGTTAAATGGAAATAAATGTCTAGTGGGAACAGGGTTTGGGCATTAACCTCAGGCTCTTAAAAAAGTTTACAGCCAGAGGGATGTTGGGGAGACAGTTGAAAAAGAATAGTAGATTCCATTATCCCAACTTCAAGTTACCTTACTGGGTTATTCAACAAATATTTATCAAGCACCTACTTATGTACGAAGCACAAGGGAAAGGGGGGTACAATGTTAGACAAGACAGATCAAGTCCCAGCCCTCACGGATCATAGACAAGCTATAAATAATTTCAGATTGTGAATTTAAAGAAAAGCTACAGGGATCCCTGGGTGGTGCAGCGGTTTGGCGCCTGCCTTTGGCCCAGGGCGCGATCCTAGAGACTCGGGATCGAATCCCACGTCGGGCTCCCGGTGCATGGAGCCTGCTTCTCCCTCTGCCTGTGTCTCTGCCTCTCTCTCTCTCTCTCTGTGTGACTATCATAAATAAATTAATTAATTAATTAATTAAATTAAAATAATAAAATAAAATAAAATAAAATAAAATAAAAATAAAATAAAATAAAATAAAATAAAAGCTACAGAGCACAACAAAACCAAGGAAAGAGACTGGGAAACAATGATAGAAGGAAGGAGTCACTTATTGATAGAGTGGTCAGGGAAGACCTCTCTGAGCAGAGACCTGAGCGTAGTGACGACAAAACTGCAGGTTTGAGAGGAAAGGCTTTGACAGAAGAAAAGGGAAAGACCCTGAAGCAGGAACCAAGCTTGTCATGTCTGAAGAACAGAAAGGTTAAATAGAAGGGACAAGATCCCAAAGGACCATGGTTACAAGTTTGCATATAATTTTTCTTAAGAGACTATAGTCATCAACCCCACACTAGCTACTACCTAGACCGTGTGTAGCATCCTTTAACTGCTCTCCCCATCCATCCGTGCTCACCTCCATGATCTATGCTGCATAGAAACATAAATGTCATTCTCCTGTAGAAAGCCCTTCGAGTGTTTCATACTATGAGTCTCCTGTAACCTACCATCTTCACTCAACATTGAGATTTATCCATGCTGCTGCTTATTACCGAAAGGTCAAAATCCTGCAAAACTACAAATGGTTTAGGGATGCATACATATGCAGTAAGACTAAAAAGAAAAGCAAAGAAAACAGAAGAAGACATTCAGAATTAGTGGTTACTCCTGGGAAGAAGGTAGTAAAGGCCAAAGGAGGGAGAATGACAGAATTAGGCGAAAAAGTAGATACAAGAAAGATAGCATCTG